CCTGGCGGCTGTCACTCGGTGTCCTCTGGAGCTCTAGCGGAGCACCGCAGACGCCGGCTCAGACCACACGGCCGCGGCGCCATGCCTGCCGGGGCCCGGGAGCGGGAGCGCCCCAGCCTCGCGCCTCGCACTCGCTGGTGTTCCTGGGCCTGTGGAGGTGCCACCCCCGCCCCTGCCTCCTTCTGCACGGGACTTCCCTCAGGTGCCCCCATTGCAAGGACACCGGTCATTCAGGATGCCCATCGGGGAGGGACCCTGTTTCCGAATGGGGTTGCCTCCTGGGCCCCGGGGGAGGATGCGGCCCGTGAACGTAAAGCGGGGACACCTCTGACGCAGTCTCAGGGGCGTTTGGCGAGTGTTTCATGCCTCCCCGTTTTTCTCTTCCCTGTGTCTACCTGTGCCTCTCTAACCAGGATCTTTACAGCCATAATGCCCATGGTAGCAGCTGGACTGATACTAGATGACCCCGCCCTGCAGCCTGCCCGACGACTTGTCCCCCTTGTAGGCACTGTGTGTGTGTTGGGTTGCGTTTGAGCTGTGCCCCTGGCGTGGCTGCTGCATGGCCGGCACCTGCGTGTCCCCGTCTGCGGCGGGTGTGGGAGCTGTGGCGGCAGACACACCTGCACAGGGAAGCCTCGGAACTTTCGGCTCTGTCACCGATAATTCTTTCTGTTTCTTCTGTTTCTGTTCTAAAACCACCTTGTCCATGGTCCAGTAAAGAAGGTCCTTTAAGTGACGGGTCAGTAGCCGATGCCCACCGCGACCCCCGCGTGACACTAACACCGTGTGTCCACGCCCAGCTTTCTAAACTGCTTCATTCAGCCAGGCCGTCACGGTCCCCGGATCCTGTTAAACAGGGAGCAGCAGAGGCGGGATGAGGCTGATTCCGTCCCTGCTGAAGCGGACGTGGCTGTCCCGCTCAGCTGAGGCGGCAGGGCGAGACGTGACAGCCGCGTGCTGCCCTGTTTTCAGCTGGCTCCCTGCCCCAGTTACTCCGTGGAAAGAGCTCAGGAGTCACCAGGGTTGAAAACTGTAGTCGCTGTCACCTCCAGAAGGACCTCAAAATGTGCGTGGCACATGGAATTAAAAGGTCAGCTTATTTTGGTGCAAGAAAACTATTGTAAGATGTATTTATTTACTTATTTGAAAGGCAGAACGACAATGAGAGAGGGAGAGACAGAGATCTTCCACCTGCTGGTTCACTCCCCGAATGGATGCAACAGCCAGGGCTGGGCCAGGCAGAAGCCAGGAGCCAGAAGCTTCTTCCAGGTCTCCCACAAGGGTGCAGGGCCGTCTTCTGCTGCCTTCCCAGGCCACACACAGCAGGGAGCTGTAAGGGAAGTGGAGCCGCCAGGACTGGCGTCACAGGCAGCAGCTTCACCTGCTGCGCCACCGTGGCAGCCCCCTCCGTGAACTTCTTGAAGCCACTGTGTATGCATGGATTTCAGATTTTTTTGCACCACAATAAACATCTTTTAATTCCATTTTGCACAAACCTTTTGAAGTACCCTCTTCCACTGGCATGAGAAGAGCCCTCAGGCCCTAGGGAGCCTCTTGTCAGGCCCCGGTGGCTTGCCCTGGCCGTCTGATGAAAGGACGCCGGTCACTGATCCTGCCAGAGCGCGACCGCCCACACGTGGTTGCAACCACAGCCCCGGCAGTGGCGCTCCGAGCAGCCGTGGGGGACAGAGGCAGCCGAAGCCTCTTCTCCAAAGTGTAGACGTCTGCGCCCTCCTGCCTGTTCCCCCGGAAACATAACACTGCCACTCTATCTTTGCCCGAGTTCAGAAACCCGGATGCCAGAGATAAGGACCTGGCGACAAGAGAAGCCCAGTGGCCTTGAGGGCAGCTGGCAGCCTAACGAGTTTGTGGGAGATCGAGTGGGCTGAGGCCAGGTTCACCGGCCAGGGCCCTCGGTGCCATTCTAAACATACACCACCCCACCCCACCTGGCAAGATTTTGCTCAACTCCTGCCTGCACGTTTGAAGGTGCTGGTCGGTCAGCAGTCTCTGGTCTGCATTAGCTGTTGCTCTGCCGCTGGCTGGAGAGACATTCTCGAGGCCGTCAGCGGTAGATCCAGGTGTGGGAGTACACAGCGTTCACCTAATCAGAGAGCCGTGTGTGCTGTGGTTGACTTGATCTGTTTTCCAGCTGTCTCGTTTTTCCTGGATGCCCACAGGAGCCTCGCCCTGGGCGGTAGTGTGCATGACTTGGGCTGCGCTGTTACTTCTGTGGTCTCTGGGTGACGTTAAGCACGCAGCGGTCCACGGGAGGAATACTCCTCCGCTTACAGCGGAGTCGGCCTGTCTCCACGTGGCCGCTGAGTGCGCTTTCCCGGCATCTGCAGGCGTGTTAAAGACCCCGTGCTCCGCTGGTGGCTCGTTTCCGCTGGGCACGGGAAGGCGCCCCGGCCGGGGCCGAGGTGGGAGATGCCTCACACATCCCACACGCACACGGCGTTCCCGCACCGTGTGACCTCCGTGGTGCTGTGAGCCACTTGGAGTCGCTCTGACCCACACCCCCGAGGCCTCTCGCACCTTGAACTGATTCTGTTTGCTGCTCTGTGTCCCTGGCATTGCAGACAAATGTGGAGCGCCCAGCAAAGCTCAGCTCTCACGTCTGTCCTTGCTCTGCCTCCCCAAGGTTTAGCTTCTTCTCCCGAGATAAGAAGCGCCTGGCCAACGCGCAGAGGAGCGTGCCCATCCACGAGTCCTTCGGCCAGTGGGCCAGCACCCAGCGCGACGACGGCTACACGGAGCAAGGACAGGAAGCCCTGCAGCACCTGTGACCTTGGGCCTGAGAGACTGCAACCACGCCTGCAGCCCAGGGGCCCCCGCCTCCAGGCTCGCCCTCAAACAAACTGCTTTGGGGACAGGCATTGGAAAAGTGATGCCGAACTCTACAGGAACGAGTGTTTATACCCAGGGCTCTCTCCGTTTGTACTAGATGACTGATCCCGTAGGATATGTATTTGATTACTCCGTGGACTGAGGCCAGACTTTTGCGTTAACTTCAGTAACACAGCTTCTTTAAGCCAAATACAGGACTTGCCACTGTAACTGCTGTTTGGCTTGCTTGGTGTAAAATTCTGTGTGTAGAGGTTTTACGGCCACGTCTGTCCTACTGTGGTGGGAGGCAGGAGACGGGTAGCTGGCCGTTATCAGGAAAGGGCGGTCCCAGCAGATTCTGTAGGACACTGACGGGACAGGCAGGGCCTCGGAGTCACAGGAGGAGCTGGCCCAACTCCAGCAGGCCACCGAAGCCACGGGTGACAGTCCCCACAACGCCTGGAGCAGGTGGGCCCGCCGAGGCAGGGGCTGCGCGCCTGGGACTCTGCTGTGAGTTTGCAGTGCTAACCCAACAAAGTTGCTGAGGATAACACACCGCGACATCTGTGTGTGCATCTCTTCTCCTTTTCATGTTCACCGTCTCAAACACGCGGTCCTCTGCGAAGATGAAAAACATCCCAGAGCTGACGGGGAGCAGGGCACAGGTGCATGGGTGATGAGGCAGGGGGGTGGCTGGGCAAACCGCTTGGGGGCTGCAGCTCTGGCCGACCCTCAGCTGCAGAAGCCTGTGTGTTATTAGGGTTTTCTTTGCTAACACCACACCTGCAGCTGAGTAATTTGTAAAGAAAGGTTTGGGGAACTCAGAGTTTGGGAGGTTTAAAGTTCAAGGCCAGGCAGCCCCACTGATTTGGTGCAGCTTTCGTGACAGAGGCACTGTGGGGGGAGCCGTGAGAGGGACAGGAGGCGTGGCAGACAAGGAGCGAGAGCATGAAGGGGCCAGCCCTGCTCACAAGGACCCTCTCTGGGTTCCACCAGAACTAATTAATTCCTTCCCTGGGCAGCGCCCCAGTGACCTCACGACCTTGCACTACAACCCTGCCTCTGAAAGGTTTTACACCCTCAGTGCTGGTGCACTGGGAACCAAGCGTCCGACAGGGAAACACCTGTGCACTGCATTTCAGTCTACCCATCACCGCTGCACCCCCCGGGTGAGCCGGGGACGGCCCTCGGGCCACTGGCCTTCTCCCCACCTGTGGAGCACCCCCAGGGCGGGGCTGACACCCCCTGACGGCACTCGGGTACTCTGATGGGGTGGGGGGCACAGTCTACACAGCCGCGTTTGTGAGACCGTCAGGTGGAGTTGCAGAATCTACCGTGCACTGTTTCAGGTCGCTGGGGAACCATCAGACACCAAAATGCCGCTTGAGTGGCCTCAGGCTTGCCTGCCTGTCAGGGTCCTGAGGATCCATGATCCGGAGGGGGCGCAGCAGGAGGAGTGGAGGGACCCCCCCCCAGGACTTTGCAGCAGGTAACCAGAGTTGCTCGGTCTCTCCTGAGCTTCTGCCTGCAATTATGTACACCACTGTGTACCCACACCCCCAGTGTACACCACCTGTGTACCCACACCCCCACAGTGCACACCACCTGTGTACCCACACCCCCACAGTGCACACCACCTGTGTACCCACACCCCCACAGTGCACACCACCTGTGTACCCACACCCCCAGTGCACACCACCTGTGTACCCACACCCCCACAGTGCACACCACCTACACACCCACCCCTACAGTGTACACCACCTGTGTACCCACACCCCCACAGTGTACACCACCTGTGCATACCCTCAGTATATACCACCTGCACACATCCACACCCAGTGTATACCACCTGCACAGACCCAGTGTACACCACCTGCACACCTACCCCATAAGTGTACATCACCTGCACACACCCACACCCCACAGTGTATACCACCTGCGCACACCCACACCCGTGTACACCACCTGTGCACACCCATACCCCACAGTGTACACCACCTCCACACCTGCACACACCCACACCCAGATCCCCACAGTGCACACCACCTGTGCACACCCACACCCAGTGTACACCTCTACACACTCACAGCCAGTGTACATACACCACCTCCACACACCCACATCCAGTGTACACCACCTGCACACAGACCCACAATGTATAACTCAAAAAGTTCCTGGAAAATGGAATTACAAGTTTATTTTGGTAGAAAAAGATTTTTCTATTCATGCAGTTTTTCATGGTACACCTTTCCCGTGAGCCTGTGGAACTCCCCTTGTATACGGTGCACAGCCTGTTCTTACACAAACGGCGGCCTAAGGCTCCCGTACAAGCTGTTCTGCACCTCTTTCCCCTCATTCCTAGGTAAGGCCTCCCGAGTTCCTGCGATAGTGCTCCCCGGGCCGCTTGGCAGCGTCTGCAGACATTTGTGGTTGACATCTCGTGGGCGAAGGCCAGGCTGCTGTAACTCCCCCCCACACACACACACAGGACAGCCCCATGGGCAAGGACTGCCCCACCTGGATGGCAGAGGTGCTGAGGCTAAGGGGCCCTGGTCTGCCATGCAATCTGCATCACTCATCAGTGACCACCCGGGCCCCTCTGACGGACAGTCCCTCACTCACACACCGTGGCACACACGCACGCAGGCGCAGTGGCCTGCAGAACAGATCAGGAGCAGAACTGCTGGCTCAGAGGCCCCTGTGGCTCCTGGGCCGGGCCGGGCCGGGCCGGGCCGGGCCGGGCCGGGCCGGGCGCTCCCCCTCTCAGGCCCCCACAACACCAAGCCAGGGCCAGAGCCTGAGCGTGCCAAGTTCTGACGCTCAGAGCTGACAGAGGCGTACACACTGCGATGGGACCTGCGTTTGCTCCTGTCTCACACACTTCCTGGAAGTGAGGCCGTCCCGTGGAGCTCAGGAACCCACCCCCTCCAGCTACCACGCGTGTGGGGCCACAACAGGAAGCACTGCTGTAAATGAGACGTGTGCGAGGGCCGAAGGGTGTTCCTGCAGTGCTGTTCTGAGCCTGGGAAGCAGTCGGAGTCTATCCTGGAATCTGCAAAGGCAGGGCATGTTCTTCTGGAATGATTCTAACAGCCGACAGCAGTTTTCAAACAGCAGATTGGTCTGGTCCCTGGGTAACCTGGGAGATTCCCCCTCTGTGCAAACCCTCCTCGTGAACACGCAGCTGTTGGCTGTTAGAATCGTTCATTACTGTGTGTAAAACGTGCTGAATTGCAAGAACCTGAACTTTCAGAGATGACAGCCGCTGGTAAAAACGCCACAGGTCCCTGTCTGGGGAAACCACGGGCCGGGGCAGTCTCCTTCAGTGCCCTCCGAGAGGGCGGCGCCGCCACTGGCACTCGCCGACTCCCCCACTCCCATTTTGTTGTCTTTATGTCTTCACAGCGCGGGGAGGCTGCTGTGGACCTCAGCCCTGCGACTTTGGTTCTGAATTCTAAATGCCAGATAGGAAAAGAAACAAGCCAGTCAGCATTCTGAGGACAGCAGGGTAGTGTTTGCCGGACAGTAGCTGGGTGCTGACTCAGACGTCCAGTCCGGCTTCCGGTCTTGTCTCTGGACAGTCCATGCCCATTCCCTTTCAATTCAGAAAACCCTTGGGCTGTGGGGACGAGGGTGTCCAGGAGTCACAGGTGAGCACAAAGGACTTTAGGGCAAATCGTTTCAAACAGGTGGGAGCAAAGACACCACCCCCCCCCCAGCTACGCACAGCCCTCTTCCCTGTCGGGTGGCGTGCCCTCAGAACCGCGCGATGAAGACGACCGATTCAGGACGCTGGCTCCAGCCGAGGCTCTGCAGCCCCGCTGCCTCCCGCAGACGCGCTGTGATGCCACTGCCGGCCAGCGCTGCCTCTACTGGCGCCGCCTCTACTTGCTCCGCCCCCTCCTCTCCTTCCCCCGGGCCCTGTCCTCCCTGAGGTCCCTCTCCCGCTCCCAGTCGCTGTCGGGCCAGGCCCTGGCCTGCTCTCTGTCTTGCCATCTCTTCTCGCGGCCCCGGCCGTGCTCTCGGTCCCTGGCCCTCGAGTCCCAGTGCCGTTCTCGGGACCGAGAGCGCTCCCTCCTCTCCCTCTTCCCCTCTCTGTAGAGCTCGTTTTTAACAACTGGCAAGTTAATGGGTTTCCGGAAAGGCCGGTCCCGGCCCCCAAACCTCAGCTGCCCCGACTCCTTCTTGCCCCCCAGCCCACCCCCGAGGCGCCGGGGGATCCAGCCCTTGAGGGTCCTTTCCAGTTCGTAGTCCACGAAGATCTCGTGCTGGTCGATCACGAGGCCGTCGGCGTCCCGGTAGGCCCGCAGCAGTGCGCGCTCCTCTTTGTACTCCACGAAGGCGTAGCCCTTGGAGAAGCCGGTGACCAGGTCCCTCACCAGCCGGAGCCTCCGGATGTCCCCGTAGCGGGAGAAGACCTCCTTCAATTTGTCCTCTTTGGTCTGCAAGTTGAGTCTCGCCACGAAGAGGGTGAGGAGGGGGTCTCCGGTGACGCCCTTGTTGGGGACGTAGCGTGCCAACATCGCCCTCCAGACGGCGCGGTCGTGGGGGTCCTCATCGGTGCCGTCGATGCTGCCGGCTTTAAGCGGGTCATACTCCTTGGCGATGGGCATCCAGTCATTCATGTTCTAGGAACGACAACGGCAAGTGTGTGTGCAGCACCAGCCGTGGGCCACCCCTGAACCCCCACAACAGCCCCGCGGAGCTGACGCGGACGGCAGCCCTTCTACAGACAGGGGAGGTGCGCATGCCCACACTACGCTGATGGGTGGGGTGCACAGTATGAAAGCGAGGGGGTCAGGCTCCAGGGACACCCTGAACCACTCCCCAGACTCCTGTGCAGGAAGCAGAGGGCAGTGGGCTTCATCCATGGGTTGCATGTGGTTTGGCCTCATGAGGGCACTCACAGACTAATTTTCACGTGGTGCCACGGAGTGAAATCCACACTCCCCCGCAGAGATTTTAAAACAATCACAGGAAAAGCAGCCTAAGAATTGCTGTGCAAAATCACTTCTTTTTTTTTTCCTTTTTTAAAAATTACTTGAGAGTCAGAGTTACAGATGGAGGCAGGGGGGTGGGGGAGAGAAAGGTCTTCCGTCCACTGATTCACTTCCCAAACGGCTACAACAGCTGGAGCTGGGCCAATCTGACACAAGGAACCTGGAGCTTCTGCTGGGTCTCCCACAGGGGTGCAGGGGCCCAAGGACTTGGGCCATCCTCTACTGCTTTCCCAGGCCACAGCAGAGAGCTGGATCAGAAGTGGAGCAGCCAGGACTCGAATCAGTGCCCATATGGGATGCTGGCACCGTAGGTGGTGGCTTTACCAGCTATGCCACAGCAAAGGCCCCTTCTGTTTTCTTTAGAGAGACAGAGACCACTCCCATCCATTGGTTCACTCCCCAAATGTCTGCAATGGCCCCACAAAGAGCCAGGATCTGGAACTCAACCCAGGTCGCCCACGAGGGTGGCAGGGGCCCGGTCACTTGAGCTACCACCACTGTCCAGCAGGAAGCTGGCCTCAGGAGCTGGAGGCTGGCACTCAGCCCAGGCATCCAATACGGGACACGGCGTCTTGATCGCTACGCCGAGTGCCTGCCCAAACAACGACATTCTAAAAAATCCTTACAACCAAGAATTCCAGAAGTACGCCAATGTGGAGAACAGGAGAGCAACCACCAGTGGCTCCAAGCAGGGCCAGCAGCCTGTGGCCAGAATAATCCAGCTCAGATTATTCCGAAACAAATTCCAGATATTGTATCATTTATCTGTGAAATTTTCAGTATGCATCACTGAAGATAAGGATTTTTGAGAAAACAAAACTGCAAGGAGAAACAGTGATGCGATGTAGCGTTTTACAGCGGAGAGCAAATCTGATCCAAGTGACCCAGCAGCAGGCTTTCTGGCAAAGGGAACCCGGAGTCCTCCTCCAGTCACAGCTCACGACTGGCGTTTGCAGAACCTGCCGCGATGGCAGTTCAACCCAACACCTGTCCTTCCTTCTGCCTCATGCATAATAATTAATTCATGGCCTGTCTGCTGGAATAAGGCAAACGCCGAGAAAGCTTACGTGCCCACCTCGGGAAACGTCAGCATCCACGCTGAGATAACGTTCTGTAAAAACCGGAGCCGGGGCTGGCGTGCGGCTCAGCAGGTTACGCTGCTGCTTGCAATGATGGCCTCCCGAACCAGCAAACCAGCTCAAACCCTTGCTGCCTGGTTTCTGACCCAGTGTCCTGCGTATGTGCCTGGGAAGGCAGCAGATGGTGGCCCCTGACCCCACCCAGGTGGGAGACCCAGATGGAGGTCTAGGCCCACGGTTTCGGCCTGGCCCAGCTCTGGGCTTTGCAGCCACTTGAGAAGTAAGCCAACACATCCAAGATATCCCTGCTTCTCTGTCACTCTACACTCTGCTTTTCACATAAATTTTCAAAATGAAATCCAAAGCTCCAGGGCTGTGGCTGATACTGTAGCGCAGGAGGCTTAGCCTCCACCTATGGCGCCGGCATCCCACATGGGCACCAGTTCGTGTCCCAGCTACTGCTCTTCCGACACAGCTCTCTGTTATGGCCAGGGAAAGCAGTGCAAGATGTCCCAAGTGTTTGGGTCCCTGCACCCACGTGGAGACCTGGAAGAAGCTCCTGGCTGCTGGCTTCAGATCGGCTCAGCTCTGGGCATCTGGGGAGTGAACCAGCAGATGGAAGACCTCTCTCTCTGTGTCTCTGTCTGTAGCTCTTCCTCTCCAATAAATGAATAAAATCTTTTTAAAAAGGGGGCAAGCATTGGCCTGGCAGTGAAGCCACCGATTCCTGGGAGGCAGGGGTGGTTCCCGCCGCCAGGGGAGGCCTGGGATGAATTACAGGCTCCAGGCTTCAGCTCAGCCAAACCCCAGCCGCTGCAGGCACCTGGGGGTGAACCAGGGAGGGAGGCGCTCTCTCTCCTCAGTCTATCTTACTCTGCCTCTCAAATAAATAAATAAATTTTAAAGCAGAACTCTGTAAAGTACTTCTCACTCCTAACAGCATCTTTCCACAATATTTATTTATTTATTTATTTAACAGGCAGAGTTAGTGAGAGAGAGAGACAGAGAGAAAGATCTTCCTTCCATTGGTTCACTCCCTAAATGGGAGTGCCGATCCGAAGGCAGGAGCCAGGTGCTTCTCCTGGTCTTCCATGGGGTGCAGGGCCCAAGCACTTGGGCCATCCTCCACTGCCTTTCCGGGCCACAGCAGAGAGCTGGCCTGGAAGAGGAGCAACCAGGACAGAATCCCATGCCCCGAGCAGGACTAGAACCTGGTGTGCCAGCGCCGCAGGCGGAGAATTAGCCTATTGAGCTGCGGTGCTGGCCTACAATATTTATTAAAATGGTTATCTACAACTTCCCCCCCTTCTCCAGTTTCCCAGGAGTCTCTCTGCTTTCGCTCCTGCGGGGGAATGAATGCTGCCGAGGTGCACTGCGGAATCTCTCCCTTACCAGCGAAAACGCCAGACACCCACAGCATGGAGCCGGAGGTCACGCGCTGCAGGCGGGCCTCTGACCTGCACATCCCGTCAGGAAGCAGGCTACGCCCCGTGAGCGTGCCCTACGCCCCCAGCCCCAGGCCTGTCCCTGCACAATCTCCTCTGCTGGGAACCTTCCCCGCCATCCCACTTCTACTCTGCGGGTGGGAACTCTGCGGGCCCCTCCGAGGCCGGCCGCGGACCTGCCCCGCAGAGCCACCTGTCTCCAGCCCACTCAGAACTCACAAAACATGTCTGTGTCCCAGCCAGCCGGCACAGGAGCACTTCGCAGACTGGAAGGCGGGACGCTACACCGTCTCCCCCAGATGCAGGGAGGGGAACACGTGCCTGGCACCCTGAGCCGGCACCGAGGACGTGGCCTCTGGTGGCCTTGGCAGGGAGACAACTTCAGGTCTGCTCCGCGCGCCATCACGACCGGAGCTTCTCCACGTGGAAAAAAGTGAGAGCCAGCCCATGTCACCTCGCTCTCCCTGCCCTGGCGAGAGCCAGCCCCATGTCACCTCGCTCTCCCTGCCCTGGCGAGAGCCCGCCCATGTCACCTCGCTCTCCCTGCCCTGGCGAGAGCCCGCCCCATGTCACCTTGCTCTCCCTGCCCTGGCGAGAGCCAGCCCCATGTCACCTCGCTCTCCCTGCCCTGGCGAGAGCCAGCCCCATGTCACCTCGCTCTCCCTGCCCTGGCGAGAGCCAGCCCCATGTCACCTCGGTCTCCCTGCCCTGGCGTTGGCTATGGAGACAGCCTTCTAGGGGGCCAGTGCCTCACCTCTGACCCCGGGGGGTGTCAGGGTCCTGAGTCCCCCCCTCCCGGCCACGTGCAGGCCGTGGGCACCACAGCTGCCGCCACCTCACACGGGCAAGGTCAGACACACAGAGGCTGAGCAGCCGCACCCCGGTCCGTGTCACCCCAGAGCTGGAGCGCCTCTCATCTCCACCACCGGCCCCGATTCTGGGCGGGTGGGGCCCGGGCGTTTCCCACCCCCAACAGAAAGACTCCCTCCTCATTCGCAGCACAGAAAAGCCACAGGGGCCCACCACGCTGTGCTGGCATCCCATCCCATATGGGCGCTGGTTCAAGTCCTGGTCACTCCACTTCCGATCTAGCTCTCTGCTGTGGCCTGGGAAAGCAGTGGAAGATGGCCAAAGTGCTTGGGGCCCTGCACCCGCGTGGGAGACCCGGAAGAAGCTCCTGGCTTCGGATCGGCGCAGCTCCAGCCGTTGCAGCCGTTTGGGGAGTGACCCAGCGGATGGAAGACCTCTCTCTCTCTCTCTGCCTCTGGAATTCTGCCTTTCAAATAACTTTTTTTTTTTTTTTTTAAAGAGCCACCCAACAACACTGCCCTTACTGCACCAAGTCAAGCTCCCGACGGCTTCCAGGGAATCCGAGGGGCATCCCCTCGTGTCGCCCTGCACTTGGGGCTCGCGCTCTCGCTCCCTCTCCCGTCTCCGCGCCCCCCCCCCCCCACCAGGTCTCACGGCCCCGAGCCCAGCGTTCTCTCCGCGCTGGGCGTCCTGCGGAGACTTCCCGCCAACGACCTCCGCGTTTCCACGAAAACTATCATCAGGGACACACACGCGGGGCAGCGGAGCGCGCGGGGCCGGGAGCCGGACGCGGGGCAGAGCGCAGCTCGCTCGCACCCGAGTCTGGGCGGCGGTCACCCGCAAGGCGCGGCCAGGCGCCTCGGCCCCCGGGGGGTGGGGGGAGGCCGGGCCGGCCCGAGCGCAGCCTGCCTAGCTCGTCCTCAAACCAGCAGCTCCCGGGGCTCCCCGCCCAAGCGGGGAACGAAACGGGGGCCCGCGGCGGCGACCTCCACCCCGGGCATGCGCCGTGGCGCCCGGGACCCCAGGGCGGAAGTCTCGGGGTGTGGGGGGAAGGCCCGGGCGGCCGACTCCCCGCCCCCGCCCTGACCGCCGGCCCCTCCCGAGCCGGGTGGGCGCGGGGAGGAAGGGGCCATCCTCCCAACGCAACTCTCACCCCCGCTCCCCGCAACACAGCCCCGGAAGGCGCCCCCTCTGCCAGGTCTCAACATGGCGGCCGCCACGACACGGACCCGGCGCCCGGGCCTCAGTCCTCCTGCCTTCTCTCCGCGTGGGCCCTGTCCCCTCCGCGCCCTCGCTCACCGCAGCAAAGCTTGGGCTCTTCCCACGGAGTCAAGCGCCGGGCTCCACGCCACGGAAGATTCCTCCCGCCGGCCTCGCCCGCACTCTCACTTTGGAAGCAGCAGATTCGCCACAGACGCTGGCTTCCTGTTATTTTTGTATTCAGAAATACTTCATCACGAGGTTGAGCGTCGTGCGAGTGGCTTTTCCGAGAACGAGCTTTGTTGTGTTTCTGACTTTCTACACGAGTACAGAAGCCGGCCGGCTGAGCATCGGAAAGATCGAATGTGCAGGTCGCGGAGCAGCTCACTTTCTCCTCCCAAAATGGCGGCGTCGGCTGGCGGGGAGCTTCGTTGGTGGTCGCAGGCTTTTCGTAGCCCCCGGGTTTGTTAAGTTCACTTTCCACACAAGCAAAGCGGGCTTTCAGAGTCGCTGACTTTCCCAGTCCCTGGGCTCAATCTCTAGAAAAAAAAATTTTTTTGGGGGGAAGTCCTCTGATGAGTCGTGGAGCAAACTGAGAGACCCCCGGCGTCAGAGCCACGGTTACAAAAAATGGAAACCTGGGCGTGAGGGGCGAGGGAGGCGGCAAGGTGCGGTCGAATGAGTGATTTGATGGGCTCATCCGTTCACCTGGATCAGGGTGGCGTGGAGGTAGCCTTTTTTTTTTTTTTTTTTTTTTTTTTTGGAAAGTCAGAGTTACACAGAGAGAGGAGAGGCAGAGAGAGAGAGAGAGGTCTTCCATCCGCTGGTTCCTGCTTTCCCGGGCCCCAGCAGAGAGAGGGATTGGAAGAGGAGCAACCAGGACTCGAACCGGCGCCCATGTGGGATGCCAGCGCTTCAGGCCAGGGCGTTAACCCGCTGCGCCGCAGCTCCGGCCCCGAGTTGGGCTTCCTAAGTCCCGGCGCTGGGTGTCTTCCGGGAGCACCTGATCAGCCCCTTCCCCGTGTGGGATTTCTGCAGACGACTGGGCCTTACTCCTGGAAGGTGATGTTACCGCCCATTGCTGCAGTCATAGGAAAAAGGTATTTTTTTGGTGCGCTTTTCCCCATAAATACACATTTTTCGGACACTCTTTGAAGATCCCTGGTATGCACGAGTTTCAAAAAATTCTTGCACCAGCGTAAATTTCATTTCGTGCCATTTTCCACGAACTTTTCGAAGCCCCCCGAGCGGCTGGGTTAGTTGAGTGGTCCCCTGAGCAGAGCCAGGCTAGGACAGGAGGTGGCACTGGGCAGGGCTAGAGTTAGTGGAGGTGCCGCCTGTGAGTCCTGAGCACGAGGGAGCTACGCTGGGCCGGCCGGGGGCTGCAGGGTGATGCAGGTGCGCCGCCGGCGAGGGCAGACAGAGCAGCAGTGGGGACCTCGCCAGCCCAGTGGGTCGCTCTGCGCCCGTTAGGGGTGTCACAGCTCGTGCAGAAATGCCCAGGCCCTCATGTCCCTGCTGTGCCCAGCCAGCAACACAGGGTGGCCTGGGGAAAGGGTGTCCCCGGCTGGACCCAGGTGCTGCAGCTGGGAGCCCTCTGTGAGACGCACCCCTTGCGCCTGTCCGTCAAGCTCTTTTTTTTTTTAAGATTTATTTATGGCCGGCGCCGCGGCTCACTAGGCTAATCCTCTGCCTGCGGCGTCGGCACACCGGGTTCTAGTCCCGGTTGGGGCGCCGGATTCTGTCCCGGTTGCCCCTCTTCCAGGCCAGCTCTCTGCTGTGGCCAGGGAGTGCAGTGGAGGATGGCCCAAGTGCTTGGGCCCTGCACCCCATGGGAGACCAGGAAAAGCACCTGGCTCCTGGCTCCTGCCATCGGATCAGCGCAGTGCGCTGGCCGCAGCGCGCCGGCCGCGGTGGCCATTGGAGAGTGAACCAACGGCAAAGGAAGACCTTTCTCTCTGTCTCTCTCTCTCACTGTCCACTCTGCCTGTCAAAAAAAAAAAAAAAAGATTTATTTATTTATTTATTTGAAAGAGTTACACAGAGAGAGGAGAGGCAGAGAGAGACAGAGAGGTCTTCCATCCAATGGTCCACTCCCCAGATGGCCACAAGAGCTGGAGCTGTGCCGATCAGGAGCCAGGAGCTTTTTCCAGCTCTCCCACGTGGGTGCAGGGGCCCGAGCCCTTGGACCATCCTCCACTGCCCTCACAGGCCATAGCAGAGAGCTGGACAGGAAGTGGAGCAGCCGGGTCTCGAACCGGCGCCCATGTGGGATGCCAGTGCTTCAGGCCAGGGTGTTTACCCACTGCGCCACAGCGCCAGCCCCCGAGTTCTTACTTCTATTGTTCATTTTTTTGATTGTAAAAAACGCACAGCACTTATGATCTTAGTCATGTCTGAGTAGTGCAGTAGTTTTACATTGCTGTGCAAGCTCTAGAACGTTTTCATCTTTTAAAACTGCAATGCTGTTAGCCATTCAACAGCACCCCCTTCCCCAGCCCCCAGCCCCTGGCCCGAGCCATTCTCCTGTCTGTCTCCGTGGTTTGACCACCCAGGTGCCTCCCACGAGTGGAACCAGGAAGTATTTGTCTGACTTCTCTAAGCAAAGGGTTCTCAAGGCCTGTCCTGGTTGGAGCGTGTGTCAGGTGACGTCGTACAGATGGACTGCATTTCTGTTTATCCCCTCGTGGATACACCGATGGGCACTTGGCTGGCCACTATCACGTGGCTGTGGGGGACAGTGCGGCTCTGAACGTGGGTGTGAAAAATATGTTTGAGAACCTCCTTTCCGCTGTTTGGGCTCATAGCCGCAGTGGTCTTGCTGGACCAGGTAGCCGTTCTCTGTGTCATTTTTCAGGGACTGCCGGACTGTTTGAGATCACTGCACCAGTGGATGTTCCCACCAGCAATGTACAAAGGTTCCATTTTCCCCGTATTCTCACCAACACTTGTTATGTCTTCTTTATCTTAAAAAAAAAAAAAAAAATTGGCCGGTGCCATGGTTCAATAGGCTAATCCTCCGCCTGCGGCGCCGGCACACCGGGTTCTAGTCCCGGTCGGGGCGCCAGATTCTGTCCCGGTTGCCCCTCTTCCAGGCCAGCTCTCTGCTGTGGCCAGGGAGTGCAGTGGAGGATGGCCCAAGTGCTTGGGCCCTGCACCCCATGAGAGACCAGGAGAAGCACCTGTCTCCTGGCTTTGGATCAGCGCGGTGCGCCGGCCGCAGCGGTCATTGGAGGGTGAACCAATGGAAAAAGGAAGACCTTTCTCTCTGTCTCTCTCTCTCTCACTGTCCACTCTGCCTGTCAAAAAAATTAAATTAAAAAAAAACTTAGGGGCCGGCGTTGTGGCACAGCACAATAGGCCTGTGATGATGGCATTGCTGTATGAGCACTGGTTTGAGCCCTACCTGCTCCACTTCCAATCCCGCTCTCTGCTGTGGCCTGAGAAAGCAGCAGAGGATGGCCCGAGTGCTTGGGCCCCCCACCTATGTGGGAGACCTGGGTGGAGCTCCAGGCTCCTGGCTCTAGCCTGGCCCAGTCCTGTCACAGACATTTGGGGAATGAACCAGCAGATGGAAGATCCTTCTCTTGTTTTTCCCTCTCTGTAGCTCTGCCTTTCAAGTAAACAAGCAGCTTAAAAATTTGAGAAGCAGGTAGAGACAAAGACCAACAGAGATGACGAGAGGCCTCCTGCTGCTGGTTCAGTCCCCAGAAGCTTGCAATGGTTGGGCCACAGCCAAAGCCAGGAGCCCAGAATGCCGGCCAGGTCTGCCAAGTGGGTGGCAGGGGTTATCGCTGCTGCCCCCAAGGTCTGCACTGACAGGAAGCTGGAGTCAGGAGCCAGAGGCAAGACTTGAATCCGGACTTCCTTTTTTTTTTTTTTTTTTTTTTTAGGATTATTTGAAAGGCAGAGTTACAGACACACACATAGTAGAGAGGTCTTCTGTCTGCTGGTTCACTCCCCAAATGGCCACAAAGACCAGAGCTGGGCTGATCCAAAGCCAGGAGCCAGGAGCTTCTTCAAGGTCTGCCACACAGGTACAGGGGCCCAAGCACTCGGGCCGTCTTCTACTGTTCTCTCAGGCCATTAGCAGAGAGCCGGGTAGGAAGTGGAGCAGTCAGGACTCAAACCGGCACCCGTATGGGGTCCTGGCGCTGCAGACAGCGGCTTTACCCACTACACCACAGTGCTGGCCCCTCTCCTTCTTCTTCTTCTTCTTTTTTAAGATGTATTTACTTATTTGAAAGAGTTACAGAGAGAGAAGAGAAACAGAGATCTTTCATTTGCTGGTTCACTTCCCAAATGGCTGCAATGGCTGGGGCTGGGCCAGGCCAAAGTAAGGAGCCAGGAGCTTCTCCCAGGTCTCCCACGTGGGTGCAGGGGCCCAGGGACTTGCACCATCCTTTGCTGCTTTCCCAGGGGCACTAGCAGGGGTGGAGTCAGAAGTGGAGCTCCTGGGACTCAAACCAGCACCCATATGGCAGCAGGTTTCAACTTTCCCCGTCTATTTAATGAGGGTGGGAGTGGAGTGGAAAGAGCATTGAAGGAGATTACAGTGAAGGGACTAAGGTCCCCCACCCTGCTCTCCAAATCAGCCCTGCATCGCAGGGCAAGGCCAGGCCAGTTAAACTACAGACGGCAGCCTAACCAGCTATGCTACGGCACTGAACCCCCATGCTTTTAAATTTATTTTATGTATTTGTAAGAGAGAGTGAGAAGGAGAGACAGAGAGAGAGGTCTTCCATCCACTGGTTCACTCCCTAAATGGCTGCAGCAGCCGGAGCTGAGCAGATCCCAAGCCAGGAGCTTCCTCCAAGCTTTCCACGCGGGTGCAGGGCCTAAGGACTTGGGCCATCTTCTACTGCTTTCTCAGGCCATAGCAGGGAGCTAGATCAGAAGTGGGACTAAGGACTTGGGCCATCTTCTACTGCTTTCTCAGGCACACCAGCAGGGAGCTGGATCAGAAGTGGAACAACTAGGACTCGAACTGGCACCCGTATGGGATGCTGGCGCTGCAGGCCAGGGCTTTAACCCACTATGTCACAGTGCTGGCCCTTCTTGATCTCCTTTCAAAACTTTTTATTTATTTACAATTTATTTGAAACACAGACAGAAATAGATCTTCCATCCATTGGTTCACTTTCCAAACACCCACGTTAGCCTGGGCTAGACTAGATGGAAGCCCAGAACCTGGGATTCAATCCAGATCTCCTCCGGGGTGGCGGGGACCCGAGTACTGGAGCCGGTACCTGCTGCCTCCCAGATGCGTGGGAGGAGGAAGCTGGATTGCAAGTGGAGCCGGGACTGCAACCCAGGCACTCCTGCTAAGGGACTCGGGCTTCCTAAGTGGCGCCTTTGTTAGGGTCTAAAAAAAAGCCCACCGCCCGAGGAACGACTCCAAGAGACTTTTTCTCTCATGCAACCAGCAAAGGGTTAAATTTATTGATCCAACATGTTGGGGCCCTCTGACAAGGACAGAGGAGCAGTGAGGAACTACAGCATAGGGTTTATAAAGGCAAAAACCGCAAAATCGGGAGGAGGGAGAGAATACACGGTTGCTAAGCAGTTGCTAAAATCTTACAATCAGCAATTTTAAGACATAGACAAATCACATCTTCATTAGCAGCCCAGGTAACCCAGGTGCAACCTTTCTACTTTTAAGCTTGAGCAATCATGCTAGGGGGGTTTTGTGCGTTGCCAAGGGTGATGTAGTGCACTGCTATTGTCCGACTATTTGAGATCATAGTTTCAGACCAGAGTCTCACGGGGGGGGGGGGGGGGGTGCTTTCCCAGAATGCAGTCTCAAGTGCTCCAAAATGGAGTCCCTACTGTCAAGGTGCTACTTTACTCTGTCTTATTTTCACAGCTGTACCAGGAAGGTTTAAACCTGTAAGCTTAAGCTTAACTTTTGACACCCGTACATATACAATTTTAACTCTTCACCTTCACCGCCGTGC